TTGGGACTTGCCACAAGCCAATTGGGCGCAGGGGACAGAGGGAAGCGGGAAAGAGGTCAGGGATACACCCATGATGATCACATGACCTGGGCTGACCACAGCGGTGCAGCAGCACAACAGTGCTGAAACAGCCACAAATTTCCCAAATTTTAATCCCATGGGAGTAATAGGTCCTGGATTTTGGATGCATTCTGTAAGTTATGGTACCCACTTGAGGTACCTTGGCTCAAAAATTGTTGCCGTATGATGCACCATTTCACCCAGTTGAAGGTTACAGATGGGAGAGTTTTAGTAGTATATAGACAATGGAGGTCCTTAAATGATTCCATGTAAAGTGAAGAAAACATGAACAGGATTTCCACTCTCTGTCATTCATTGGAGAACAATAGGAAATACTTTTAGCCATTGTATGAAACAATCTCTCCCCACCCTCTCTCTCTCAAATATACACACAGAGAGAAAATTTAACAAATAGTACTTTTAAATATGTATATCTGTATGATTCAATGCCACACACATGGATCTGTGAATGCCTTTGCACTATGCAAAGTCAACAGGACACTAAGGACCTTCCTTAAGAACTCAATGGGACTGTGGAAGACAACACTGGAAGTCAACTCAAGACAGCTTGCACAAGTGGCTATCAAGTGTGGCATATACCAAAGTGATGCACCAGCTTGCACAAGTGGCTATCAAGTGTGGCATATACCAAAGTGATGCACCAGCTTGCACAAGTGGCTATCAAGTGTGGCATATACCAAAGTGATGCACTGTCCCCACTGCTGTTCTGCATAGGCTTAAACCCCCTCAGCCATATAATCACAAGGACTGGATATGGGTACAAGTTCGAGAGTGGAATCACCATCAGCCACCACCTCTACATGGATGACATCAAGCTGTATGCTAAGAGAGAACGAGACATCGACTTACCGATCCACCTGACACGGATCTATAGCAAGGACATTGGGATGTCATTCAGACTGGAGAAGTGTGGCAGGATGATAGTAAAGAAAGGGAAGGTAGTTAAGACCGATGGAGTGGAACTACCAGTGGGCCACATAACAGACATAGAGATGAGCTATAAATACCTTGGTGTCCCACAGTCACATGGGAACCATGATGAGGAGGAA